ATCTTTACGCTGGGTCTTGTCTACGTACCTTTTTCCCCATAGCTGCCCTTCCCATTCCTAATCTTCTTCTGATTTCTTGGCTGCAGTCCCTGTTTTGAGCAATATTTGATCCAAGATACAAGAATTCCTTGACTATTTCAATTTCTTTGTTATCTAGGATGAATTCTTGTAGTTCTTCCATGGTCATTATTTTTGTTTTTTTAATGTTCAGTAGTAAGCCTGTCTTTGCACTTTTGTCTTTAATTTTCCTTTGTAATTGTCTTACTAAGGTCCAAAACACACTGCAGAAATAATCCAGTTTGAGACTGCTTTAACTGCCCTGGCTCAGAGTTGTAGTCTGTTGTGGCATCCGAGCTCTCTGACAGAGGTGGCTAAATATCTCACAAAGCTACAGTTCCCAGAATTCCCTACCATTGAGCCAGGACAATTAAAGCAGTCTCAAACTGGATTATTTCTGCAGTGTGTTTTGGACCTAGGTCTCTGATGTTTTCAGCTAGCAGTATGGTGTCATCTGCATGTCTTAGACCTCTGATGTTCCCTCCTCCTTCTTCCATGTCTAAACCAGCTCTATATATGATATTTTCTGTATAAAATTTGAATAAATAGAGTGATAACACACAGCCTTTCCTGACCCGTTTGCCAATTGGGAACCATTCTATTTCACCATTAGTCTGTTCTAACAATAGCCTATTAAGTACAAATTTCTCATAAGGACTATCAGATGTAGGAATTACGTAGCAGGTGATGATGTCTGATCTTGGAAGCTAAGCAGGGTCAGCCCTGGTTAGTATTTGGATGAGAGACCATTAAGGAATAGCAGGTGCTATAGGCTGCATTTCAGAGGAAGGAACTGGCAAAATCACTTCTGAGTATTCCTTGTCTAAGAAATACTTAGGAAATTTGTGAGGTCACATAAATCGACAGATGACTTGAAGGCACACACACACACACACATACAATGCTTATTTCTAAAATCCAGCATGGTGTAGTGGTTTTAACTTGAAAGCACACAACAACAACAACAACAACAACAACAATCTCCAAGTCCCTTAAGAAGAATCCTATACTGCTAATTCCTGCTGATCCAGCTGCTTCAAGGCAAAAGGATGGATTTCCCCCTCTTCTCCAGCTAACTGGCGATTCCAACATTTCTTCTAAGGCTACATCCACACAGCAAAAATAATCCGCTTTGACACCACTTTAAGTGCCATGGCTCAATGCTATGGAATGCTATGGAATTCTGGGAATTGTCATTTGTCGGGCGGCAGAAGTTGCCACAACAAATGACAATTCCCAAAATTCCATAGCACTGAGCCGTGGCACTTAAAGTGGTGTCAAAGCGGATTATTTTTGGAGTGTGGATGCAGCCTAATTTAAGCCAATATTCTTAATAAGATACAGGACTCGCTAGCTGGCCATGCTTTTGTGCCTTTAACAATAGTCTGTAATGAAGAAATCCAGCAGAAGATACTTTTCCAAGGACTTGGTTTTTGTGGTTGTTACTTTTATATCCTATACCTAGCCCAGAGAGTGACTAGAGCAAGGTCACACAATGTGTTTCTCTGAGAAAGCTCTTATTCTAGTTAATGCTAGATTGTGCAGCTGAAATAGAGGTTGTTGGACTGCAGTGCCCAGCATCCCTCATCATTGGCGATGCTGGCTAGGATTTATAAGGAGTTGTAGTCCAACAGCATCTGAGGGCTGCACAGTTCTGTCTCACACAGAAGCAATTTATTGATTGATAATTATATTTAGAATATTTATAGGCTGTCTCTTTAAGAAAATCCTCTTTAAATGGCGTACGAAGTTAAATCTGTAAAACACAGTGAAATAAAGATTTTTAAAGAATAACCTATAAAAACTCAACAATTAAAATATTCTACCACTCTCTACTTGCGAAGAGCACTTATTACCTTTAACAAATGCTTATTGTACTGTTTGTAGTTTCTATTTGTTACTCATTGATAGCTAATATAATTGACTGTGGAGTTTAGGGCTGCATCTACACTGGAGAAATTATCCAGTATGACACCACCATGGCTTGATGCTGTGGAATTCTGGGATTTGTACTTCATTGTAGCACCAGAGCTCCACCAAATTACAATTCCCAAAATTAAATAGCATTGAGCCAGGGCAGCTAAAGTGTGGCCAAACTGGATTATTTCTACAGTGTGGATGCAGCCTTGGTTAGCTTCTTTAACTTTACAATCGCCCCTCCGTTCTCACAGGGGATCTGTTTATGGATATCATGGATTATTATTATGGATATTCAAGGCCCATTGGCTTGAATGGAGGTGAGCACCTACGGGGGCATGTCCCATTTTGTCCCCCTCCGTTCGCCACCCGCAAAACTTGAAGTCCTTGAAAAAAGAGGGGCGACTGAATTTGTTCCATACCTTCCAACATTTCACAGATAAAACTGGGACACATGCAGCAAAACAACATCAGAGTGTAGTCATTATGGCAAACATTTTGAGGAAGAACTGGTATCCACTGGGATTTGGTTCCAGGACCTCCATGGATATCAACATCTATGGATACTCAAGTCCCAATAAATACAATGGTACCGTAAGGTGGTGTCCCTTGTATAAAAGGGCAAAACCAAGGTTTGCTTT